GGACCATCTTCTATACACCAATAGTTGTATAGCCATCGAAACCAGCAGTGAGGCGTCCTTACAATGAAAGTAAGATCATTTAAAATCTTCGAAACAAATTGAGCAATAAAACAAAAACTTAGAGAGTCTTGATTTCCTCCGAACTCCGAAGTTCTTCCACATCCAATTGCAGTACAATTGTTTTTTAAAGTATTCTCCCTCCGCTCTCGAGAACTCTCGAGACAATCTCCATTATTAGATAACGTTTTCTTTCTATAATCAAAACAACGTTAATGTGAAAATCGTCCAGATTTTCAGCAACTCCCTGATTAAGTATGTATCATTGAAACAATTGAAGTCAACTTATTGATCGGGATATTTTTTTTCAAATTAACAAAAAGTGAAAAATGCAAATATCTCACCTTGATTCCCATTGTAAGCACCGCGTTTGAAGTCATCATTATTTAGAATAAATAGAATAACCATAGCTTTTTCTAATTTGAAAGTATTAAGTAATTATTTTATATGCACAGTACAGATAAGTCCTAAATAAATAAGCTCCGATACATCGTAGAAATCTCGGGGTCTACGAAGGGACCTAGAGCTACTTCTAAGTTTGGTACCATACGATCCCTGGGGATTGATTCAAGTACTGGAGGTGACTAGAGAAGACGCAACCTACGAACAAAACCAAAAAGTACTCAGAGCAATAAATAATTAATTAATAGCAGCACATAGCTATCGAATCTTCGAAAAAACACATTCCTAAAAGTCACCGAAGATTTCACAGTAGCTTATTTATCCTTTAATCCGGAATCTGAGAAGCTAATCCTACGTGACGCGAAGCCGATATTTATTTTATTCCCTTTGAAGACTTTAAGGCAAAAGGAATCCTATATCGTTCAGTTCAAGTTTTTAATATAATTCCGTGTTTCAAATAAGTTTGTGTTATTGTTCGGATGCGCGTCGATACTGCTGATAATTTTGTTTATGGTTTGGTCGGGTGATGGATCCCGACCGGAATGCTCGGCCCTCCCGAACCGTTTGTTCTACAAGATCAATATTGTGAAACGAAGTTATTGGCCTGTTTTATGTTTATCATTATTATACTCGTAAACAGGGCTTGCTTTTTGAAAATTTGATGTTGCGTGGTTTTTATGTTACTGTGGAAATCAAATATAAGGATGCGTATGTGTCTGTTGCTATGCTTAGTTTTTTTTTTTGATCCCATATACATCTACAACGTAAATGCGCTACCCACCTTGAGATATAAGTTCTAAGGTCTCAGTATAGTTACAACGGCTGCCCCATCCTTCAAACTGAAACGCATTACTGCTTCACGGCAGAAATAGGCAGGGTGGTGGTACCTACCTGCGCGGACTCACAACAGGTCCTACCACCAGTAAGAAGTAGTCTCCGGATTATTTATTATTATACATAACAAGCAGTATTCAAGCTATTTTTCTACACACAGACGAAAATTGAGTGCGAGAGTGACGAGACAGTAGATGTCTGACAACATCTCCCTCGAGTTTTTTCTTTATTTCTTCTTTGATAGTACGAACAGTTCACACTTTGCTACTTAATTTGCACTTTCTCCTAATTCATAAGCAGACTTTGTCTCCAACAAGTACGGATCGTATCACCGAACTAGCCATCACAGTATTTGAAAAACGAGCACATCTATATATTTGGTAAGCGGTGGATTGGCTCTGCCTCTGGCATTGCTGACGTCCATGAGGAACGATAGCCGCTTACCATCAAGTGGGCCGTATGCTCATCTGCCTACAAAGGCAATAAAAAAATCTATCAGTCACGAACGTGAAACGTAATGTAATGTAATGAGTAAAATAAATAAACATAAAAGAATACTAATAAAATAGAGTAATGAGCTTAGCTGAAGCATTCAATAAAATTTCAATTTTGCCAACACTCAACCCGGAATGCATTATTGTGGCGGAAATAAGAAAACGTAACAGAACTTTATTGAGATTTTAAGTTGCGTAGTATAATACACGAATGCCTTGGAGGAAAACGGAAGCATTTGTAACTTTTGTTCTTTTGAATTATTATATTACATCACTACTATGTTTACTTAATTAAATAGCTTGAAAGTTGCTAAAGACGTCGTTATTTATTAAATTTTACGAAGGTCTACGGTAAAGTTAACTTACATTGAAAGTTAACTACAAGAAAAAGAAAAATATTCTGTTTAAGCAACTCTAAATTTGGACTGGAGACTCATAAGGTTTAGCTTCTGTGAACTTGTGTTATCAGATGATACCCATAATGTTGTGCGACCTAGATTAGACAGAAATGATTTTTTAGAATATTTGAACTTATTAACCGCGTGGGTCAGTAATATCGTTGGGCTGGTTATCGCCCTACGCCGAGCTAAATACATGCCTGTCTTCTCTTTTACACTAATAAAATAGAGTCAAACTGAAAACTTCCCTCATGTTGAAATAAGATAAAATGCTACGAATAATTAAAGCTCCTCTGCACTATTTGTGTTGTACTCGATACTCGAGAACGGTAGATCGCACTCGCCTTTATAAGCCTTTCATTTAAAAAGCGCTCATATCTCTTGTGAAGTGTTTGCGCTTGTTGTGTTCACGGGGAAAGCTTTCTAGAAAGCCAATTTACGTTTTGTAGCTTGCGGTAGTAATGCGGATTTACTATAGAATCGTTATTGTTTCGAGGAACTGTTTAAGTAGCAAACAAGTGGACGTCGAAAAAGGCAAAGTGCCCTGTGTATTCGTAATCATTTAAATCTACAGGGTTTCGATCTACTATGCTTATATAATGTTTTACTCATCTTTTTGAGGACTAGTGACATCAGTTCTGGGGGAGTCTGAAACAAGTATCCACATAATATGGTATATGGTTTCGTATATCTAGGTATCATAGGAGGTACTTAGCATCAATAAAAATGAAAATAAAAAATAACTTAACAATATTTTTTTGAATCGTCAAAATCAGCGGTGCTGTTTTCAATGCAGTGTCGATTATCTTCGGTATCCGCTTAACATTAGGTGGGCTGTGAGCTCGTCTGCCCCTACGGCGGTACAAAAAAGATCTCAGAACCCATGAGCACTCATCTACATCACTCTCATTACTAAACCATAACGACTTATTTAACGGCAAAAACCTCCTTCGTATTTTACAATAAGAAATAACATCTGAACAAATAAAAGCGTGCGCCGTAAATCCTTACAATATCTCGTGGCGTAAAAGAAATTCGTGAAATTAAATTCCGTAACGGCGACGTAAGCGTAACGTAAGCGGAGCGGGTTGGCTTGTATGTCAAAGGAAGGCTTTAGCAAGACTCTTCCACGCGCAGCCCAGTGGGGACAGTGGAGTAGGAACCTTCAGAACAACAGGTTCAAAGCTTTACCAAAGCATCGAACAGTTGTTTATTCGCATCACGCCCATTAGTGTGGTAATACATTCCGCTATAGCTTCATTGTCCTCTAAATTTATTTTTTATTTTCATTCCTTTACTTTTTAGGCTTCAGTCAAATCATTATGCTATGACATATTAGTCTAGTAGTATTGTTATGGTTTTAATTTCGTTTTTATTGGCGACATGTTTGTAAGGCTTTATAGTATTTGTAGCTATTTTATGTACCTACTCGACTCTAACGGTAATGTTCTTTCATGTCGCTACAGATACACTTTGATGATCGAATTTGTAGTATACATACTATATACATGTAGCATACATATTGATTACAAGCTTTAGGCGAAAATTTAAATCGCGTTGACAATTTTTACAAGAACATTCAAAACGAGCAGATAAAGGTCTTTTCCTTCGTATTTGTGTATATGAACCAATCTGAAATGGTGCGACGGAATCTAGCATTTATGATATTAACAATCAGTAGCTCTGTGTAAACTTTGAAATACGAGGTGAAGGCGCAATTGTACCTATCGTATAACGATTGTTCCACCCTTCACACCGACACGCATGACTGCTTCATCAGAGAGAGACATTTTTATTAGCAGGATGTTGCATTATAAAATTTACTGCAGGAGAGACGATGTAAACACATCTTTCAAATCAAAACTGTTAAAGAAGTAACAATAACAGATCACAAAAAGCCCGTTCTGAAAGTCTACTGGGAAATTCGCCAGAATATTTATTCCGGGAAACTTTTACGATTGAACGTTACAATGTATTCGAAAGTGACATTCAGCCACTCGATAATCGGCCCGTAAAAAGAGTTGGGAGCTACGAGCGCGCGCTAGCTCGACGTTGGCCCTCGACACGCGCGCTCCGAACGTAAACTCGTCTCAGCCGAAGAGTTCGGCGCGTATCAATTTTCCCCGGAATAATTACGGGGCGCCAACAAAGGAAGCTCGGACTGGAATAATTTACAAAAAAATACCGCTCCTCAAAACACGACACCGGAACCGAGCCGGAACTCGTTCGGAGGCCGCTCGATCCAAAATTGAATTTCAATGTCACAACAGTGCAGATGTANCGAACGTAAACTCGTCTCAGCCGAAGAGTTCGGCGCGTATCAATTTTCCCCGGAATAATTACGGGGCGCCAACAAAGGAAGCTCGGACTGGAATAATTTACAAAAAAATACCGCTCCTCAAAACACGACACCGGAACCGAGCCGGAACTCGTTCGGAGGCCGCTCGATCCAAAATTGAATTTCAATGTCACAACAGTGCAGATGTAAAAATCGCTCGACTCGCAGGCGATCGTTGTGCGTTGCGCGCGCAGGGGTGGGTGCGGGGGAGGCGGGGGCGGGGGGGTGCGCGCGCTGTGCGGCGCCCCCGGCAGTGTCCCGGGCCGGCCGCGCCGTCCGCCCGCGTCGCGCCATGCCACCTCCTCGTGCGTTCGTGCTCCGATGCGACACGCGACTACTCGCGCTAGTGGCTACGCGCTGCGACAGCACTCCGACCCTCCTCGCTGCCCAGTAACTCCAGTGTGCTACGAGTTTTACGCCGGATTCAGTGCTACAAAGTGTCAGTGACAGTTCAAAGAAAGTTTGCTTTATCTTGCATCTCGGCGCGAGTTATCTGGCTACGACGGATCGAGGCCATCGGAACTGCCCTGAAAGCCTCCGATTGGGAGGCATTTCTTATATTTATCAAGGTATTATGTGAAAAAATGCTAGTGATTAATGATCTTTATTAAATATGTTTAAAATAAAGTTTAAAAGAAGAAAAACAAACTTGAAGAGCCTTAATAACTTTTGACGCTACTTCTATAACTCGATATTATGATCGAAATTCTTGGAACTCTCTAACTTTTAATGTAAATAAATTTATTGAGGATTATGCAAATTAAGATAAATTTGCATGTTCACCGCTGTCAGTGTTGGGCGCGGGTCGGAGTTCGCGGGAAACGCATTAATGAAGTAAGACGTCGGCCGGCGACCGTCGCGCGCCGCCTCAAACTTTACGATCTGTTTAAAACGAACATTATCCGCGCGGACACTCGCCACAGACAGCGCTGACTCCTGAATAAAACATTCAATCTCCGGGAAGAGCCACTCTACTTGATTGACGCCGTAATTACTCATATAACTCGCCGAGGCCCGACACTCGATAGATTTCAAGCGTTTATCTCGTCCGAACTTCTTGCTATTCGAAAACAACGAAGCAACCTCGCGATAAAACATTAAACGAATACGAAATCTCATCTTGCTTGTAAAAATTGCGCCCTCACCGCCGGGAGGATCTAAGAATGGAAATGATAAGCAATGGCTGAATGGGATCTCTTTGAATCCGAACGCTGAGTCTGAATATGACGCGCGAGAATAGTTGTGGCCCGAGAGCAGGTCGGGGCCATTCAGCGGACGTCCAAGCCAACGTCGCCGGGATCGCTTTACCGAGGGTTGAATGGGATTAGCCCTTTCTAAGGGACGCGATAAACTAATATGCGGACTCGAATTGGCTTCGAATAACCCTGCTTAATGCGCAGTCCGATCCGAGCGAGCCCTATAATGTACCTCTCTGGTCCTTTATCCGTTGAACGGCACACTCGGTCAACTGAGAAACCAAAGGCGATTGATCTCTTTCATTCCTTAATCCGTATGTTGAGAAGCCATTCAGATGCTTAGCTTTTTACCTCTCACTGCAGAAAATATAAAGAACAACTCTTGTTTTCGTCACCCATGCTTACAGAAGATACATTCGATGATTTTGTCACAACTCAATAGTTTTAGCAAAATATCTATCCTTATAAAATTAAAATATCATATAAAGTTAGATCATATGGAATATAAGTTCGCAAACAGCCCAGGTTAACCCACACCAATGATAAGAAGAAAGAAGCAGTCGCGTGCCCCGCTTCGACCGCCTTTGTACAATACAAATTGAGACATTGCTGCGTATCATTTTATGATTTCGGAGAAACTACTTAATACTATGTAGACTGTGAGCTTGTTCATCTATTTAAGGCATTATACATGAACAAGCTTAATTGCTTAGAGTCTAAGCAATAAAAAACTGTAGCGGCGCTTGAACTTTGATTAAAGTTCGACTAATAACATTAGCCGTCTTCGATACCACATTTATTTAATTTCAAGTAAAACTCACATCGGATCTTATTAAGTAATATAATATTTAAACTTAAATACTTAAAATGAATTAAGTGAAGCGTTCCGAAAATTATATGAAATTATCGCTAACTTCGTTTTACCGCTGGAGTGCTTAAGTATTTCGGTTAAGTAAATAATTGATTAACATTCGAAACGTTAAAAAAGCTATTCAGGTAAATAAAAAAATATATTATGCGAGAATATATACGCGCTAAAGTTTATACGCTTCCGAGAACTTCGCAGCGTATTCCTTTTTTGGAATTTCATTCGACAGCATTCTTCGATATCACAACCGAACAAAAATTACACAGTATTCAAAGCGTTTTCATTTTTAACAAGCGCGAGATGTATCCATCATCCGTAGGAGCTTGAGCAGATAGTAGCGAAATCAATGAAACGGACCGGCCGCAACCGTAAAGGATCACCTTTACTTGATCAAATGTCTATACGTTACGTAATGTATTTACTGATGTAAACAATGGATTTAAAATGAAATCATCATGTTATACAAAACATAATAACATGCCGATTCGCTACATTTATTAATCATTTTCGGTCCTTCCTCAAATAAATTACTAGTAATTGTGACGTCGAAATGACATGGATCTAAATTTTGAATAAAGTTCCACAAATGACTCTACCAACAATTTGGATAATTACTGAATATTTTAGTTTTCTTTCCCAAGTGCTTGAATAATAAGTTCTGTTAAATATGTTCTGTTAATACAATAAGCTTGATATTCGCTTAAACACTGCTGTAATAAATCGTAAAGTGAGTTTTGCTGGTGAACGAGCTGTCGACCCAGCTGGTGTTAAGGGATGCTGAAGCTTGTACACTGCCACCAGTCCAGCGTCATGACCTACTGGTATAATGCATTTTGTATTAAACAACATTGAAAGACAACTGGTTTTTCACAATACGTTGAACTCCGTTGAAGCTGTTACAAAACGTAAAGTGATATCTGTCTGTTCGCCCCATACATAAGTAAGACAATTTCACACGAATGCAATCCAACCTTACCTCGGATATGTCATAGCTGAGTAAACATACTGCAACCCCAACTTTTATTTACAAAATGTAAAGCTAATTGAATGAAGTCTTAGTTTCACTATGCCAAATCTGTCGATTTAGTAACAAAAAGATGTGCGGTGTCGTGGGACACCGGATAGGAACGAAGTTCCTTATTATAATATAAAAATATTAATTTTAAGTTCTATTCGAGGTATAAAGAGTATAAAACTGAAGGTTTCGCTACAACCCACGGTCATTCGGTAAAGTGCGAACTTATCGTGGTACATACACTTCATTCACGGTTGTCTGCATAAGAGTTAGTGTATTGCGCATACGAACGCTCTGAGATCGTGGTAAATGTATGATAAAAAAATATGTTATTTTTTGTACGTTATTACAAAGTTAAGTCGTACACTGTGTGCATTACCAATAAAAATATTACGTTACGGACGTTTTTTTCCGGTTAGGGTACCCCTCTATATCGTCCCATAAGGAACTTCGTTCCAATTAATTGAAGCTTTAATCCACGATTGTAAATCGCAAGACACCCAAAGAGAGCGATGTGCGTTTGAAACAGCAGCCATGAGCGCGGAACACATTTAGCCGGGGCCTGTCGAGTCGATCGCGGATCGGTCCCCAGGGGAACAGATAACGCCAATCCGCTACGTTCCGTGAGCCCTCACCGTTTTATGACGCGATCCAACGCCAACCGAAAGGTTACGGATAAAGTTATGTTTGTTGTTTTGCTCTGCACTATCTTAGTTTCGTAAAATACGATAAGAACGGTTCTTCGGTAAATATTAGAGGAGATAGCGTCGGTTCTATTGATTGGATATTCGCTTCTGTGCTCGGGCTGTAGTTTGGATTATGGCGCGCTTAACGTGTTGCCGAACGGATAACGTAATCAAACAAATACTCACGTGAGAACGAGGTTTTAGGGCGGCGAACATTCTCGATAGAAGTTATGGTGTTAGGCATCTCGATTTATAGTTTGGCGCAACTCGATTGAGAGTCTCCTGTTCGGAGTTACAACGTATGCTATCTGAATGGGTGGTCTCGAAGTAACGAGATGAGGAAAAAGGCTAACAAAGTGAATAATGTTTATCTTTTCAAATCTGAAACAAAAGTAAGTTTTCATGAACGTTTACATTGTTCCGGAAAACAATGTAATTGTATTGTTTTAATTTTGTGTTGTTCGAACGGAAAACATTTCGGGATTCGTGACTCCGTCGATTGCGGCCCCGCGCTAAAAGGAGTCGTTCATTTATTAACAATAACCGCAAGCGGACACAATGGCCACTCCGGTCGAATTGCGGTCGAAAGTAATCAATTTGTGTAATTAAATAATTGTCGTGTCATCCATCCGACACGGCCCGTTACGAAATCAGAATCATCAACTTATTACACGTCATGAATAGTTCACGTCAACGTGACGAGATCGTAACTCAATTATTAAATTGGAGATAATTTCCCTTACGATGTTTACCTCTGTTATTAACGTTTCATTCAATGCAGATTATGATTGATATCTGTATAATTAATAAATTAATATTGTATTTATTTAAAGGGAATACAGATGTCTTAAATCTGTTCAATTAGTGATCATACTCAGTTATAGTTTGAAATAATGGGGGAACGAACATGTCAATCGACATTTTACTAAAAATGTATTGCTATAAAGATGTTGATAAATATGTACTGAGTAATATACTAAATCACAATGTTTGAGAATTCATTGTTAGCTTCAAGAAATAATTATAGTGGCCATTAGTGAGCGTCGAGTAAATCTATAACCATTTACATATGTATATAGAGTGGTCTTGCAACTTTCTACGTTCTATTTCTTGATTCCGTTGAGGGTCAGCCCGTAGATACCATAAGGTTTAGACACCACACGCCTTAGAGGTCGAAATTGATTGATGTGTGAAAATGAGTGTTCGATGGTGTCTTTAAATGCAGGTTGGTGTGATCAAACGGCGCGGGCTCACAGCACGTCCCGTCAATAAACATTTATTATTGTCATCCGCGAGCACAGACGACAACTGTAAAGTATTTGAAACGTCAGAAGTATTATGATGACAATAGAAACCGTGGGATTAAACCATAGCACTGGGTTCAATAATTATTTGGACGAGTCGCGAAAACCGGAAGAAATACTAAGTATGTAATTATTGATCAATCAATTGTGTAAAGGTTTTAAACGATAGCCGAGGTTCGAAAGTGCACCTTAAAAAAATGTATTCAACTTATATTTCTTTCCTACTTTAATTTCATTTTAAGTAAATATAGTAGGTACGTTGATTTATATTAATTAAGAAATCAGTAAATTATTCATAATGTTCCTATAAAGCTTGCAAAAATAATTAAGGTAAAAGCTTCAATAAATTAATACTTTAATGAAAGCTTACGGGATAAATCGTTATGGGCTCTCCAGCGGTGCGAGATCCGCACCTCATATAAACGTTACATGCTTTAATGAGTTTCGAAAGTTTATTTTAATATTCATCATAATTATTCGATATAAATTTGCATCGCGCT